AAATCCCCAATTACAAGCCATCAATCCCAGATGCGGGGGTCGTAGCTTGGTTCTGCATTTGCCCCAAGGCGCACTTCCTTTTTGCTCAATGGATCGCCGGGCCCGGCGAGATGGGCCTCCAAGAATGGGGGCGAAAATCCAAAGCTCATTTGCATGCTTGGCTATCTGGGCTTAGAAGTAAACACTTTTGTTAGCACTACTATTTGCATAGACAAATCTTTCTTCCAGGAACATTCCATGAGGACCCTCTTAGGAACCACCATCCTCTAAGGAACACAACAAAATGAAAGGAACAACCACGGTCACCTCCCCCAATAAGATGTTGCCGTGAAAATTCTAAAATTCCCGTAATCCGCTAAAAAGCGCCCAGTTCCGGCCATTTCCAGAGTTCCCGTTGTCGCGGGCCGCGGTTTTTTTGCAAGTTGCCCTGGGCAAAGTTGGCAACGACGTGAGGGGGCCCGTATTCATCTCTGGTCTGCGGGGAATGTCCAGCAAAATGGTGGCGATCAAAAAACTAGAATCCAGCTGGAGTTGCCGAAATTCGCGCGGTTGTCGAAATTGAAGTTTGAAAACTTGAATTTTGTTTTTTTGGAATGTTGAAACATTTTGTCGAAATTTCAAATTTTCTCATCGATTATTCGCCTAAAAAAATTGACATTTCAGCGCAGCAACATTTCGACAAAATGGTCTTTGGTCTAAATGAAATTTCAACACAATGAAATTTCGAAAAAATAAAATTTCGGTAGAATGAAATTTCGGCAAAATGAAATTGGACAAATAGAAAATTTTGATATTTCCACTGGTTTTTGATAAAACATGTTTAGTTGCCTCGACATCCGCACAAGTAAAGCGTGTTTTGGGCGTATGTTCGCGTATGCTAAAGCCCTGTAGGCATCCCTTAAAGGGCTAGTTCAACTTTTAGAGCTTGGGCTGGTACCTTGGGAAGCTATGGACGTAGGCACAGTGCGCCCGAACAGTCCCCCATTACGGCAGCTATTAGAGATCGGGGAAATAAGAGAGGCGCAGACAAAACGCAGAGAGGGTTCGGCCCCCGGCCGCGGAAATTCTTTTGTTTTATTGGCTGAACTAGCCCTTTAATCGGCACTTTCGGGCAGTCGGCACCAGTTTGGAAGTGGAGTCATGAGGTAGGCCAATTGGGATTTGAGCTGATGGCCCCGTATGCGGGCCAGCGGGGAAATAAATAAATCGTTCCCACGGGAATGCTTCGATAGCCCCGCACGTAATTGAGCCCTTAGCCCAGCACTTTGATGCGAGGATCATATGAAGGTGTCAGAGGACTATTTTATGGACTTTCAGGTGGGATCAAACCAAAAGTACGTGAAGAAAGTATGTATGTCGAAATTGCAGCGTACGACTGAGATACTTAGTTTTCACGAATGATCCATGCTAATTGGCGGCGAGCTTACAAATCTGTCAAATTCAGGTCGAAGCGGAAGCAAAACTCGGTGGCGGTTTCGCTTAAAACTACTGGAAATTGAGTCCAAAACAAGGTTCAATTGCTGCAATATTATCACAAACAAATTAATAGCGTTGAAGGAGACGTGTTTCCAGCAGCCTGAGCAGAAATCGAGAGCGGACCCGCCCGACAAATGGGCCGTTGATCGAATTCCTATTATACGACACGCCGGCCACAAATCGGCGCGAGGTATCGCCCGAATATGAGATGAGAAGTTTAGCCCAAAACGAGTGCCAGCAAAGAAGAAGAAGCTAGTGTTACTTTCAGAAAATTGCCCTCTTAGTTGACGGCAATGAATTAGCTCTTGAAAAGCGAAATCTTTGGCCAGGAACGTGGCTCTAGGATAGCCGCCAATTCTTGGACCCTCGCGAAAAAATAAGGGCCTTTGGGGGCAGCACACAGAATTGAAAGACCAAGAAACGGCCGGATGGTTGGTCGAGCGTTCTATGCGCCGAGGATGGAGGAGGAGGTGGTGAAGGCAGAAGAGGACACGATGAATGGGCCCGCGCACCTGGGCCAAGAACCCTTCAATTAGGGCCCTCCAAAAACACGGAGGGGGGGGGACCTCGGAAAAGTTTTGCAGTGGCTCATGTTGCAGCACAACGCTTTTTAAAGGTACAAGACAGGTTGGAAACTTACATCGTTTTGACTTTGCACGACTTTTGATGCGAAAAGTGCGAAAATAAATGCGCTGATAGAAAGCCGCAATGTATTTTGCGTTCTAAAAAACCAAAAAAATTCTTAGGATCAACTCGATTCATTACGATTGGATTCAGACTTGAATATACGCGGGCGAAAAGGCCAATTTCCGGGAACCCTAAAAAATAAAACGGCGAAATGGCAGTAGCTTGGAAATTGGAAAAGCTTCTCACATGCTTATCAGCAAAAATCGATAAATGTTCCGGTATTAATTCTCAAGAAGCAAAAGATTTGCCCCCAGCCAGGATTGAACTACCGACCTTTGGTTTACAAGACCAACGCTCTGCCACTGAGCTATAAGGGCACGGGGGTTGGGGACGCAGTGAACGAAGAGGAACGTCGTGAGGCCGTGTTTGGGCAGCTGACCCGGCACCGGGCTCGAAACATGCCCAAAAGAGCTTGAAATTGAATTAACTTGGAGAACCGTTTCTGCATCAATTCGCGCTATTGTAACGACTGCAGGGCTTAAATTTTCATCTGCTATTTGCTATTTAATTAAAAATAGGCTAAAAATTTTCTTAGAACTAGATGTAAAGATAGAGATAATCAATGAGTTAGGCTTAAAGTGTGGAAGCCCCAAAATAATTCGAGCGTCAAAACTGATCGGAATATACGAGAAAGATACCCTCCTGAGCACATCTACCAGAAAATGCCAGGCCCTGAAGCCTCAACGCCCAGCCAATTCTTGGAAGGTTGACGACCCGTGCGCACGCATAGATTTATGGGATGTTGATGGGATGTCTTTGAAACGAGAAACCGATTTAATTGGCGAGCACGCATAATGGATGGCCCCAGCCACTGGGAAGAGAATGGACGGAGGCCATCGAAGATAGATGAGCGGCAGCATGGCCATTTCTCACCTGGCCCGTTTTCGGAGTGCGAATCAAATTAAGGGTTTCGTATTTGATGGGGCGCTAGCTGGACGTTGGTAAAGTCAGGAATAGCGTCTAGCGGTCGATGAGAAATTTTAGCTAATTGGATCGATAGCTAAGGTGGCAAATCGGGGACATGGCGCATCTTGTGCATACTTTACGCTTTTCCGATTTTTGCTGAATGGCCGGGTTTAAAAGATATAGCTTTCTAAGCAATTTTTAGGCCCGCAAGAAGTAATCTGTATTACCAATAATTTTTTTTATCGTTTAACATGATTTTATGATTCTATCAGATGGGGATTTTTATTCTGATTCGAATGTTATATTTCATTAATGCCTTACTGGCTGCAGATGCCGATTTACCGTTGTTTTTGGCCATTTTTCCAAAAGAAAATTTTAGAAGTTATTATCCGCCTTGATTTAGTGGGCACACTTGCTGGAGAAAAATTGCTATTTCTTGAACACGTTTCAAATACGAAATTACTGAAAAATTTTCAAAAACCTACACTAGCAATTTAATGGTGGGGAAACCCGAAAAAGCCGAGTCTTAATTGGCACAAAACTTTAAAACGCTTCGAATGCCGGGGATCGGTTTCGACGACTCGAGGACTTCACTGTCAAGGGCCCAAACGGGATAAGACGGGTGATTGGGTCATGGCCTTCTCCTTGTGGCCCCCTCTCTTTTGTTTGTCAGTCTCAAGTGACCACTCCGTCGGGGGTTCGCGAATTTCGCCTGTCCGCAACACACCACTTTTGCGCACCATTTGCACCATGCGGGTGCTGATACGCATTTTGGAAGTACTGTCATTTTTCCTAAATCTTGTTTTCCTAAACTAAAGATTTTAAGAAAAACCAGGGTTGAAAAGCCGCTTCGCGTCTTTTCAACCCTGGCCCCCCGTCTAGCGTCATAATATGCTTCATTTTACATAAGGCTCGCGAATTCCGATGACAAAAAAATGAAAATCTCTCCCTCCGCCCATTTCCGACATATGCTAATTGATTCCTAACAAAGTGGGTGCTCGATTTTCTAACAAAAACTTAATTTTAACGTCGAAAATAGCATAATTTGCAAAATCTGATGTGTGTGCAGTCATCTCAGCGCCATTACGCACCTAATGACGTATCATACGTTGCTTAAAACCCTTTCCCTCTCGAGATATCCTCCGGACACCCTGACGGAAGTTGCATGCAAAGTGGCACACACACACACACAAACACACAGACACTATTTTTTTTATATATAGTAGGATTAACATGTTGAACCAAAATAATTCATATTTGCCTAGCAATGTCGTGGGAAGTAGTTTAATAGTGCGTTTAGCCTAGATTTAGCTATATTAAATGTGAAAAAGTATCACGGAAAATAAGACATAGTTTTAGAAAGGCCAACTAATTGCTTTTATAACAAAAAATGACAGCATTTGGTCCTTGATATTCTTACCCCTCTTAACTAACCTAACTAATTTTAGCAAAAATGAACTTTAGGAAAAATGCATTTAGAGAAAATGAAGATTTTGCAAAAGAAATCGAAAATGAAAACCTCATTTTGCCTAGGGAATTTTTGCCTTTTCTTGGCAATTTTTTGATGAAAAGTGAATGATATTTTTGTTTCTGGACATCCACATCGATCAGTCCGGCTGCAGATTCTGATATATACTTGTAGACAATGTCAGTTATCCGGCTTCCGACTATTACTGAATCATCGGTTCATCGGTGCTCTGATGGTTTTTGCGTCGAGCCCCCCAAAAAGCGCTGTTTGTGCTGATCTCCAAAGGCGCGTGCGAGCGGATACAGCCCTCGGACCCTTCAGATCCGGAAGAGCCTCCGCTGCTTGGTACCGCATTTCCGATCGAGCCTATTGATTTGACGAAACGCATATATTTCTTGATTTTTGTGATGCTTGCCTCTACAAAAAAATTGGCTTAAACCAGCTAAAAAACCCCAAATCAGGGATGCTCTCCCTGCTCTCCCTGCTCATCGCTTCTGGTACGGTACTACGACCGGATACGGAACTTTGGACTCCAATTACGTATCCCGATCCTCGAGTCAACGCGACACTTTGCAACTCAAAAGATAATTCAACGGTATGATCTTATCTTTAGGCTAACAGTATAATTACGTAACAAAAGTTTTGGCCCGAGGCTAACTTACTAACTTAAGCCAAACTATAAGCTATGATTTTCAGGTTTGCGACCCGGACCATCTTCTATCGGACCAATGGCGGGCAACTATTGACGAGACAGTGCGGACCCAGGTGGAAAGTAAGTCTCCATTAAAACACGATATACGAACTTGCGTTAAGGGCTTCATAACACGAGCATCCAATACGTCGACGACGCCCCTGAGGAGTGCATGAACGAGACCGAGTCCTTCCAAATGTACGTCCTGCTCGCTAGACGCATAAATGCTACCGTAAATTCTACCGTCACGTCCGACGAATTGGTACGCCACCTTTGACTTTAAAGGATTCTGATCGATTTTTCCATGCTGCCGAATTCCACATAAAAATTTTAGAAAACTTTCGGCGACGGATTGGTCGAACAAATGGGGCTGAACAATCAGACGTGTAAGAATTTCCTAGTGTTGATTGTCGTGGAAACAGCTCATTCGGCATACGCGAGGGTATGATGACTTTCGCACAAAATTCTAAACGTCAAACGCTTCAGACGGGACGGCACATTCGAATGCCGGCCGACCTGATGGAACAGGCGTTTAACAGCTCGACCAATCCCTTTACCGAGAAGAATTATATGGAGGTAGATTTCTATTTTCAATTAATCTGGTTTTTAGGTGCTGAATCAAATTGTTGAGAAAATTGGCGATTCTCTGATGAAGATTTTTGAACCTTCGACCGAGCCGCCGACTGAAGCGCCGGTGGTTGGTGATACAGATTTAGTTTTTAAAACGGTAAATTACTCCCTGGCTCTCTCTCTCTCTCTCTCTCTCTCTCTCTCTCTCTCTTTCTCTATCTCTCTGTCTCTCGCTCTCTCTCTTTCTCTAGCTCATCCCCCTCTCTCTCGCGCGCCCTCTCCCATAATTCATTTTCAGCCGCAAACATCAGAAACGCTGTCAGAATCAACCGAAGACACGACAACATCATCAGAAAAGCCCGGATTTATCGTGCTGGAGAATGGGAACAAGTTGAAAGCCTCTAGTATTCAAAAATCACTATTTCAGAAGTGTAATGGTGCTAATGTTGTGCTTGACGGTCATTCTAATTATCGCCATCACGACAATATCGTTGATCAGGCAAATTTTTAGCTGAATGATAGTATATTAGAATTTAGATACAAACAGATCCGGGATTTGGAGTCGAATGATAAACCGATCAGCTCACATTTTCGGTTTGGTTTCTTTAGTCATGACTTTCATTGATTTTAAGTGAATTCACAAACGCTTACAACAGCAGTTCAAGCCAGGAGACTGTCATCCGGGATACGGTCACTATTCCACAAATGCTAGACGCTGACCTGGAGGTTGAAAAATAAGCTAGATAATTTATTGTATCTATAAATCTCATAAAATAGTTTTCCAGGGTCCATCAGCCTATCAGCACGATTTTTGCCGATCGGTGAGTATTTCTGCTTGCTCAGTTATCTCAAATTAAAGCCGCCACTCACCGCGGTGAAACTCTCGACGGATGCGGGGCTCCCAAAAACCGAATCGCCGTCCGAGATCAGGAAGACTTTGTAACAATGATTTTCGGTTGTTTTTATCATCACCATTATTCGCAGCAACCTATCGGGATGCTTGAAAAAGTTATTTATTCTTTCCGTCTTTCAAAAACCACATTTGCACATTTCAGCGGTTTTTCCCTTGCGATTACGAGTATTCGGGTGTTTCTGAATAAAAATTTTGATCTGACGCGTTAATACTGCCGGTTTTTAGGCTACAATCAATTAGCTCGTGAATGTTTAATAAAAAAGGTGTCTTGAGATGAACTACATAAATGTGAAAAATCAAATCTATAAACGTCAAAGCCAGAAAGCTTTTTGCAATATTTTAAAGATTAAGACAGTGTTGAATTCAGCAAAAAGCAAAATCGGTAATTTTTCAGCCGAAGGTACAACGCCGAGATATGCAAACATTAGGCACAACGCCAGCAAAGGCCATGCTAGAACTGGGGCAACTGGCAGGGATTATTTGCGGACTGGGTTGGTGGAGGCTGGGGGGATGGGTGACCCTTTGCCAAGGGTACCACCCATATTTTGTGCTTGGTGTGGGCCCCGGTGGGGCCATAGTGTAATCTCTGACTGCGGTTAGGACACCACCGCTACGATTTGATTGTCGTTTCATTTCGTGAATTGGGTCTCTTCCCCTTTGTTAAGTGTTTTCCAGCCTTTAAACCAATTATTTATTTTTCCCTTCCTTTGATTTTTCTTTGCTTAAAAGGAATTAGGTCTTAGTTGTTGGATCCCTCACCTTTTCATAATTTTGCTTTGTGCGGAACACATTAATGAAGCGGACCTGTTTCTACGGGAAATTGTATAAAAGCCCTACCGCCTCGGAGTCTAAATTTGCTCAAAGACGCCACCAATTTTCCTGATCTAAAACTGCGCATTTTTCCCAAATTCGACCATTAAAATTTAGATGTCAAAGTGTAGTTTCTCTAAGCACCCAGTGATGTTGAGTCAGTCAAGAAAAGCGTGTTTGTTATTGGGGGGTTAGAATGTGGCTGGGCTGGCAAGGGAAATGTTATCGATTTGACCGATCGCCCTCCTTGGTGTTCCCCTAGGCATTCCGGCTGGCAACTAGCCAGAAATGGGAATCGAACGTCACAAATACAGGTGAAGCTTGTATTTATTAAATAAGAAACCGTGCAGAGCATCTTTTCAGTTAGCCCTAATTGGATAGTTAAGCTTTGTCAATTTTGTGAATTTTCTGAGGCTTCATGCTTCTATTATTCTGGTGATGATAAGCCTCTCTTTAGGATAAAATGCCAATTTAAAATTATGACCAACTGCTCAATTCAGGGAGCGCCAAATGACGATACAGCGAACCGGCGGGAAATGGTCAGCCCGGGCGTTAATGTTGTATAATCTACTTTTCTGGGTTTGTAAAGGCGTATTTCCAGATTTAAATATTCAGGCCAGCGGTGTAGTGCTTGTCATTATCGGAATCTGGGTCCAAGTGGATCCGAGACGAAGCTATGTACTGCGATTGGTCCACCTCTCCGAGCGGGAACCGTATTTAGTATGGGTTGCCTGGATTTGTATCATTAGTGAGTTTCAAACCAAGTACCTTAATTTTGAACGCTGTTTTTAGCGGGTGTCTTCACGCTGCTGATCGGGTTTGTGTCTTGCTGTGCGGCCGTGAAACGTTTGAGATGTATGACAGCAACGGTAAGTGAAAAATTAGGCCGAGATTTTTCTGGGGAAAATTTTATCAAAATGTTTAGTTCATCCTCTTTCTTGTCGTATTTTTCATGGCGGACATTGCCATCGCGACGCTGGCGTTAATTTACCGAGACCAGGTAGCTTTTTGCATATTTTTTGTGTTGAAAATGCGCTTATTTGCCTCAAAAAAAAGTTGACAGCGAGAGAGAGGACGGGGCTGGGAGAGAGAGAGGGAGAGAGAGAGAGAGAGAGAGAGAGAGAGAGAGAAAGAGAACGAGCGAGAGAGGTTAGCATTTTCTTCATGTTTTCCTCCTTCTAAACCTGGTCCACGTGCTACTAACCCTCAATTTCAGTTTACCCTCGATTATACAAAGTTGTACCTGACGAATATGACCCAGAATCGATACAGCCGTGACTATTGGGTCCAGCCGTTGCTGGACACTATCCAGTTTTATGTAAGCTTTGAGGAAACACACTTAAAATCGGCCAGCCAGCCATCCGCGTGTCCATAGTCATGTGTCGTACGCGTAACCTTGTTTAGCAAACGGGGTGATTACTAGCCGAAGGGCATTTCAGCTAAGAACTGGACAACTGAAGGAGGCAATAAGTTTGGTGACCCGTCGGGATTATGGCGTGAATCTGGACGGCGCGTACTATCGCCGCGTCACCGCTGATATCGACAAGCTACAGTATTATGTGAGTTGAATAATATTTTATGGCTCTTTTTTTCGTCTTCACGGTTGATATTTTCAATTTCAAGGGCGAGTGCTGCGGGGTGCTCGGGCCTTCCGACTGGGCAAGTTCAAGATGGAGGGCCCGGATTGAAGGGGCGCAGGAAATAGAGGTGAGTTTCCAGTCATTTCTCTACGCTTTACATGCATAATATGCTTTAAAAAATGTAGCAATGCAACCCCATGAATTTTAGGTACCCCTCGTCAGCGAAACCGAAACGAACCCGCTGTACCCCGAATCATGTTGCACCTTGATCAAGGAGGCAACACCTCTGATCCCGGTGGCAAAAAGCTTGGCACGATGCCAGCGAATCGACGCGCCGGCGATTTGGCGTCATTCTAGGGTAGAATAGTATTCGTAAGTGCCGTGGTGCGTGTACTAAAATGATTACTGACTCTGGATGGCTGGCTGGGCGGCTTTGGCAGCACGATGACCCAAATGATTAACCGCTTTAGCAACAATGTTGTGGTGGGACTGGGCCTCAAGATTACGAGAATTCGTTCTGGTTTATTACGAATCATTTACGCGGCACCGTGTCTTGGGTGCCACCATCATGTTGTCGGCAAACACAGGTAACTAGACCTCTAAAAGGAAAATTAAGCTAAGTAAAGTTTAAAGTTAGCTTTTAGGTAAAATGTGGCCTCTTTTTAATTTTTCGACATAAACTTGTTATTCAAGGGACGGCCAATACCGCACTATGCATTTCAGGGCGGAGGACTTGGCATGTGCTTTCCGCTACACGCAACGCAAGGGCTTTATTTCTCCGTAACCTACCGCGTAGCATGCGGTGCGTATGGCGGCATAGTATTTGAAATTTTAAAACGCAGAATTTTGGATATTTTCGGAGCTTTCAAATGATCCTTCAATAATTCAATAATCTCAATTCAAATCTCAATTTCAAATCGGAATAGGCACGGAAAACGACCCCAATGGCTCCTGAAAATTCAGGGGCATGCAAATCGAGCCCGTCAGAGAGTCAATGTCCCGCATCCTCCCGTACTAACTCTTTTTGTGCAGGCGGCGCGTGCATGGTCGATCCAGCCGATTGACCCGATGTGCATCACCTACCACTATAACCAAACGGCTTTCCGCTCGTCCGTCTATCTGGAGGTGTGTGTGTCTTTTGTGGCCGAAACCGGCTTGAATAATGGAGATGTTTTATGATCTAACAGCCATTAGTGCGGGAACGCATGCGTCAGTTTTTCCACAGTTATCTACTCACAATTTTAATAATGTCCGCGTTTAGGGTTGTTACGAGCGACTGCACAAATGGCTCAACGACATGACGCTTATGTTTGCGGTACTTGGCTTCTCTTTCGCTGCCTTCATGGTAGTTTCTAAATACTCCAAGAATATATGGAAAAATAATTAGTTCGTCGGCATCATCATCTCACTATGCCTCTGCAACAGCATCCGGTACTATGTGCAAGTAGAAGAATATTAGAAGCCGGCTCCTCAGCGTCAACTACCACCTCAAGATCTCAAGCTCAACCTCGTTGATATATTGTACAAATCTATTTTGCATTTTGTGCATAAAGATTGATTTTTGGCGGGTGCTCAACAGGGAAAGAGACTTAAAACAAATTGCGATGCCAACCAGCACAACTGGGGCTAAAAAGCTACGCTTAAAAAGGTGTTTTGGAAAAAACAGTTCAATCCTCTTGGCAAGAAAAAGCGCTAAAGTGTTGAATAGTGGGACGTGTTAATATCAACGAAGACTACAGGCGCCAATGCTCAGTACAGCCGTTGCCCTATCCCATCTGAGATTTTCATTTTTCATTCTTTCATGCTTGTTTTGCATAAATCTTGATTCGTCAAAGAGTTGAAATAAGCATAAGTGAACGATAAAGTGAGAGCTTGGGTCGAGCTGAGCAATGGCTCATGAAAAGAGGCTTCCCCAACAAGCCACGAAGACAAATTGCAAAAATATGGAAATTGAGGGGGTCTATCCTGGAAAGGGCTGTCGCACGGGGTGGGCTAAGGCTGTCACCGCCCTAACCGATTACCCTTTATTTCCCGGGAAACAAGGCCATTCTGTGAACGGTGGTCGGGGTCGACGGTCAGGGCAACACCATGCGCTAATTTGCATAAAAAGAAGTGGCCTCAACTCTTAAGCGACTAATGGCAATAAAAAAAAGAAACTGCGGCGTAGAGCTATTCATAATTTTTGTGAATGCATTTCGCATCTACATTTGTGCACCACCCGAACGAAGTGCGTTCCAAAATTTGTTCGAGACACTCGTGGAGGTCTCGGGGTTAATGCTAACCTCAAACCTGGGTAATTAAACCGAAACTGGGCTTCGCTCCCTACACTTACCATCTGCCCTGACTCCAGGCGGGCACTTTTTAGTCCAGCAACTTCCGGAAACACTGAGTTTTCTAGAGTCTATCGACAACCGCTCGCTCTGGGGCAGTGCGACCTTGAAAAGCTACGCAAAATAACGATAAACCTCATAATTAAAAATAGCTGTGATAGTCTAGCACGATTTGAGAGAATTGGAGTTGAACCTTTCTATAAGAGACGTTCCGGGAGGACGACGCTAGAATGACATAGCTGAACAGCCGATCAAAAAAAGTCAGAGCTAGGAATTTTTGAAAAACGCCGCATCGATGCTGGGCCCCACTGTGCCCTTTTCTGGGCGCTGAATCAGGCAGTGCCGAGGGCCGTCGAACGGGCGGACGATCTTTCTGCCGAAATTCCACAACGACAAAGGGACAAACGGACAGATCCACATAAAGTCATTCAATTCACCACAAGCTTTCGCTGCGCTGCCTCTGAATAAGATCCTTTTCGAGGGATTCCACCGCAAAATAACAAGCACAAATGAGAAACCGTAGCCATTTTTTAGTTAATTGAAGTTTTTGAAATGCTACTTTCTACTTTGGGATCACCAAATATCCTTGATCCCTTTCCGGCGTATCCGAATGGGACGCTCGAGAGTAGCAAGTAGACCTCCCGAACCCCCCCCATATACCCCCCTTTACCCCCATTTACCCCCCAAAAAACCCCCCTCCCAACCCCCCTCCAACCCCCCAATACCCCCCTACCCAACCCCCCTCCCAACCCCCCAAAACCCCCCACCCAGCCCCCCAAAACCCCCCTCCCAACCCCCCTATACTGTATTAAGCAGAGGGTCGGGGGTTCGATTCCCGGCCGCGGGGCAAACTTTTTGCTTTTTGGGTATTCGGTTCTGGGGGGTGTGACAAGCCTAGAGGACAGTCAATTTTTTTGTCGAACTCTTTTTTAAAACAATACGATCCGGATTTTTACCCGGTGAATTGCTCTATTTGCTTTATTTGAGATTGTGGCTTGTTTTTATTTTCGGAATGACACCATTAATGGATTGTAATGCTATGCCCTACACAAATAACTCATTGGGAAACCGTTTTGCCCAAAATTGCAGCGTTTTGCCAGCCTTGAGCGTGGAAATGAAAATTCTATCAAAAATTTTGCTTTCAGGAAGATTTGGTGTCTAAAAAGTTGTCAAATCGCAGGTATTGTATATAGGAAAGCTAGTTAACACTTTTTAAATAGATTTCGTGGTAGCAACCAACAAAAAAATTAGTTTAATCAATTGTTATCCATTGGCAGCAAGCAAAACCGACAAAACTAACCAGTTTCCCACTTTTTTCGTGCCGTAATGGTTGTTCAATACTTGTATGTAAGCTAATAGTAATATTCTGCTAATACTGCTAATAGTAAGCAAAAACATGGGTATAATAAGTGTAGTTAACTTATAGTTTATGTATCGAACCCCCCAAAAAACCCCCCAAAACCCCCAAAAAAACCCCCAAAAACCCCCCTCCCAACCCCCCTCCAACCCCCCAAAACCCCCTGCCCAACCCCCCACAACCCCCTACCCAACCCCCTCCAACCCCCAAAACCCCCTGCCCAACCCCCCCACCCCCTACCCAACCCCCTCCAACCCCCCAAAACCCCCTGCCCAACCCCCCAAAACCCCCCTACCCAACCCCCCTCCAACCCCCCAAAGTAGGGGGGTAAAGGGGGGTTCGGGAGGTCTAGTAGCAAGCGCGTTCTTCACAAAGGGGGCGGAGCCAGGCCCATGTCCCGCGAGTCGTGCCGGACGAGGAGAGGGGGAGATTCACCCCTGCTCTTTCTCCCTCTTTCTTACTGCTAACATTTTACCCATTGAATTTATACCATACTATTATCTATCACAATTAAATGTATTCCGTAAAGCGCTTTGAAAATCTTCTTAATTAATTGTCATCTGATTGTTCGGCTTCCGTACAATTCGGCCGAAAATCATATAGCGTTAGTTTTTCAAGATTTTCCCGAGCCCACCTTCAACGGCAACATTGGAGACCGTCGATGCTCCGGGCCCTTTTGCTGCTTCTGCTCCTGCTGCTGGGGAGTAGCGCTTGTCCGGAGGAGTGTCAATGCTCCTCAAATACCGTATCATGCACCGGCAAAAAATTGACCCGAATCCCGGCCGGCATCCCCGAACATACACAAAGATTGTAAGCGAGATATTGCAAGAAGTGGCACCAAATCCGTGATTTTTAGAGATTTACAAGAAAACAAGATCACTATCATCCGGAAAGATGACCTCAGTCATCTACATCAGCTGCGGATACTGTAAGACATCCATTCCCTGCAATCCCAATTTTTAGCCAAATCATGGACAACGAAATTCACACCATCGAGCCGATGGCGTTCGACAATTTGACGCTGCTTGAGAGAATGTAGGTTCAAATCATCACTTTTCAACCTTGGGGTATAGACGGTTGAACCGGAATCGACTGCGCGATCTGCCGGACCGTTTATTTTTGTTCAACGACAGGCTACACAGATTGTGAGTTGTTTTCTTGTTTTTGAAGCCTAATTTTCTCGACAATCCCTATATTTTCCATTTTTATACTCCGAACACCTTGCTGTAACCCTTGAGGATTTTAAGGACAGCTTTTTCAAAACTTTCCACTATTTTTCATCCTTCCATTTCTTTCCGAGCTTCTCGCAATCTTTACTCCATTTCTTTAAGGGTTGTGTATTTTCCGTAGTTGCCTCGTGATTTTCTTTTGATCCATGTGATCGTGACTATAGCCCCAGGCCCAAATTTTCCTTAGATTTTTCCGGTGTGCCCACCCGGGCACCTAATCCATCCAGCCTCACACCTCATCGATCAGAGTAGATCCCGACTGAGGCGTGGCATAGATCTGACGGGAGGGCTCCCTTATTAAACTTACACTCGCTTCATGGGCATCCACATCTTGGGGGGCTTAAGATGTGCTCATTCTCCCCGGGTATGAGTGGTCGGATGTCATCTGCCACTCATACCATTGACATATCAAAATCCTAGAGATTGCGAAGGGTTTGGTTTCGCCATCATAAGGAAAGCCAACCGTTCAAGGCAGACGTCGGATGGAGACATTGCTTGTCGATACTATGTAGGGGACAGGCTCCCCTCAAGCTCTTCAACGACCTGAATTATCCTTATCCTTGCGTGAGTGTGAGGAAGAGAGTGGGACTAAGGAAGCCGCTTTAATTTCTGTACCCGCTGCGTTTTTTTTCCTGGACAAACGGCTCGAATTCCACCCTCGTCTCGAGTTCGTTGACGACCTAAAAAGTGCATCACGGAGTCCGGCATATGATTATGGGATAAATCGAGTCATTCTTATTCTTCCTAAGCCTAAGCCTGCGCCTAGTGAATAGTAAAATTTTCCTGGGCCCAGGCTTAGGCGTAGGATTACCATAAAAGAAAAAACTTGATAAGGAATTTAAATGCTTTGAAAAATATAGCTCTAAAAACTCAGCCCCAAATCTCGACACCGACTCGCGCCCCACCTGGTCCACTCGCAAGGCATATAACAGCAATGAAAAAGACGCAGCTGGGGCCGAGACCTAAGCCTAAGCCTAAGCCTAAGCCTAAGCCTCAACTCCTAAGCCCTGGTCACTCTAAAGCATAAACAAAGTCGACTAAGATTCGGGTAGTCTCTCTTCTCTCCCAGTATCCCATGCCGATCCGGACCAATAAATCGGGTCGGTGTCCAGTTGGAGCTCAGTTTTGGAGTAGAGATAGTGCTCCTTTTCGGTGTCCACGATTTGCCCCGTTCTCCCGGTTAGAAGCTTTGAAGTGCCCCGCGTGGCCCTATCGCATTCCCCCAATTGCGGGCAGCCGGGCCAACTGTTCGTGGCCAAAGAGGGGGACGTCGAAGGGGGCACTGTTGTTCTAGCTGGAGACTTATGGCCCATCTTCTTCCCTCCCCCCTCCACTTCGGACCAGTCAACTGCCTAATAAATGTCCTCACCCCACAAGCAAGACGAGTCGATCGGCTAGGGCCCACCACCAACCACTGCCACCACCTGCGCCCCGGCCGCCTGATTTGTGGCTTGGTGGGTGGTGAGGATATGCAAAAAGGCCAAAAAAAGTTTGGAGGCGTAAGCTGAACACTCGGCAAATGTTCAGTTAACCGAATTTCATCTATATATGGAATTGATTCCCATGAATCTACATCTACATGATCTACAGCGTCGGCCCCCTCTAGCGAGGCGCAGACATGCCCGATTTTGACGATTGAATGACCTATCGATAACTCTCGGAACGGCGAGAAAACCATTAGTCATAACCTCATTGGTCATAAACTCATTAGTCATAAATTTCAGTAGTCATAAACCGTTTAGTCATAAATTTATGACTAACCAGGGTTGAAAAGCCGCTTCGCGACTTTTCAACCCTGGCCTCGTCTAACCCCCATGCTTCATCACTTTGCATAAACTCCTGAATTACTGTGCAAAAAAATGAAAAGCGCGTCCTCTCCGCCATTACATAGGCCTCCCCCACTTCCGGTTCATGCTAATTGATTCCTAACAAAGAGGCCGAGCGAGATTTTCACAAAAACTTAATTTTAATATCGAAAACAGCTGTTTTTTAAAAATCTCATATGCGTGCAGTCGTGTCATGACCATTACGCACCTAATGACGTATCATACGTACCCTTAACTTCCTCCCCTATTGAGATACGACTGGAACATACGGACGGAAGTTGCATGCAAATGCACACACACACACACACACACACACACACACACACACACACACACACACAAACACTATTTTTTATATATAGTAGGATGACTAATAAGAATTTATGAAGAATTAAAGGGAACCAGGGTTGAAAAGCCGCTTCGCGACTTTTCAACCCTGACCCCGTCTCGAACCCCATACTATTCTGCCCTTTGCATAATTGTCCTCCATTCAGAAGACAAAAAAAATGAAAAATAACCCTTTCTGCCTCTTTATATAGACGACGGCCCACTTCCGATGTATGCAAATTGTTCCTAACAAAAAGGTTTTTACAAAAACCTAAATTTAATGGCGAAAATGGCTAATTTTTAAAAATCTTGTATGTGTGCAGTCATCCCTAGACCATTATGCACCTAATGACGTATCATACGTAGCCTAATACCCGTTCCTTCTTGAGATATCCTCCGGACAGACAGACGGAAGTGGATGCAAAGTGGCACACACACATACACACACACACAAACACTATTTTTTTTTTTTATATACCAGGGTTGAAAAACCGCTTCGCGGCTTTTCAACCCTGGACCCGTCTAGGACCTCTGAAAATTTGCCTTTATATAGGGCTTGCCGAATGCCGATCACCAAAAAAATGAAAAGCGCACCCTCCCTCCCTTTTTATGGGCTACGGCCACTTCCGGTCAATGCTAATTGCCTCCTAACAAAGAGGTTTTTCGATATATTTACAAAAACTTAATTTTAATAGCGAAAACAACCGATTTTCTTAAATTTTATATGTGTGCACCCATCTCGGGACCATTACGCACCTAATGACGTATCATACGTACCTTAAAAACCTTCCCCTGAGGCTGTAGGTGCGGTACATACTTACGGAAGTTGCATGCAAATATACACACACACACAGACACTATTTTTTTATATATAGTAGGATAGTAGGATAGTAGGATAAAAGAAGAAAAAATAAAAAGAAGAATTTATGACTAATGGGTTTTTGAATAATGAGTTTATGACTAATGAGGTTATGACTAATGGTTTATGCCTAATGGATTTCGCCCGAATTCAACTCGAAGGGGAAAAGAGCTTTTTCTCCTCCTTTTTCGGGGAAGGACTAGCCCTGCCGAAGCGAGCGTGAGTCTCGATAATTTCCACTTCGGGCCCCTCGCCGGGCCCTAAGTGAGTGGCGCGGCACACTCGTAAAGTGCGCGCAAAAAAGTGCGAGGCTCGCTGGAGTAAGCGGGGGACGGCTCACGAAGAATTAATAATGTCCGGGACCCCAGATGTGTTCAGCCGGGTCGTGGGTTTAGTGAGCAGGGCTAGGGGGTTGTGGAAAAGTAGCATTGCTTGTTTAGGGGATCAGGGGATGTGAGTTTAAAAAAGCTGGAGTGTGAAAGTTATGATATTCAAAAGGGCTGAGAGGCACCAGAATTTAGATAGAATTTTAAATTTTGAAGCCCACGGAAAGGCGAGAAAACAAGGAGGGTTCATTTTCTTCATTGGGTAATTTTATTGGCAAATTTTGCATCCAAAATCCACGAAAGCGGAAGATTTATGCAAGGCCTCCATGCTAATTGAGAAACTTCTGTTGAAACCTACCAGTTTCTCAGAAAAACTACGATATTAAACTAGTTTATATCGATCGTTAATGATGGGACATCTTAGAAGATGAAACCTGCTTATCGTCGCTTCTTTTGAGCACTTTGGAATGGTATAAAAATCATCCCGATCCTTGCTCCTCCGGTCCGCTAGAGGGCGGTACTTTATCGGCAGCCAGAATGGAATTTTCCAATAGCGAATTTCCCTCAAATCCTTCCCATTTCACTCCCTCCAAAAAATGCCACCAATCGTAGGCATCAACAGCATTGTTGGTCTATTAGCGGGCAACCGAGATGATGGTGCTGCTCAGTCTCAGCCTGGAAAGACCCATTCGGCTACCCATAAAACGTGTACAGCACATGTGCCTTTCTCTGCCGGATGGCGACTTCCCTTCACCGTCTTTTTGAGGGGCTGATAGTCGGCTTTTGTGACAGCTGGAAAATATGGAAAACCCGCGTTTGGCAGTAGCCCCCGGCGCCTCGTAACCAGTTTGGTTTGTTTGGTATTCGAGTTGATGGCCGAGCCGGGTGGGTGCCCGGTGTCACGCCGAAAGGCAGGGGCATCACCTTGGATAGGGGGACAAAATACAACACGAAAAATAGTTAAAAAGTGTGGACGCAAGAGATGATTGATACTTCTAGAGACCTCTCCGAGAATCGGCTCGCCATCATCACCAATGAACACCTGCGTGGGCCGACCGCCATGCGGAACCTGCAACTCGATCGGAATGCACTATTCTGGTAGGGGAATCAATTAAGTTCAAACTTCAGGCCCTGACTTAAAGGGATCAGGAAGGCCCAGGAAAGTTTAGCATAAAACGGACTCTAGTTTTCGAATTAGCATAAATCTTCTCTGCTCTCTCCTGCCTGGCCCCCACTCTCTACTCAATTTTCATTAGCATTTCCGGTTGGCACGTTGCCTATAGAATTAGCCTTCAACCAGGGTTGAAAAGTCGCGAAGCGGCCTGGCCTCCTGCCTGGCCTCTCTGCAGGCCCTTTGATACGCGGGCACTGCATATTATAATTTGCATTAATATTACGAATTTCGTAAGGGAAAGGCACCACAGGAAATACTTGAGCAACCGACTCGGAACCCCGCAAAGCCCAGAATGAGCCGAATTAATCGCCGTATGCAAATTAGTCTATTTCCATATGTTTTTAAATCGCTAAAATAAGGTACAAAACGTCATTTTAGTAAAAATCTGATAAGCGCGCAGTCTTCTACGCCCTCGATTACCCCTAACTACTTTACTTCTGAACCATAAAATCCTCTTCCCTTCGAGTTATGGCTGGAACCCGGGTTTTTATGCAAAGTGTCCACACACACGGAAAATATTTTTTATATTTAGCCTTCAATTACTGGGCCTTCCTTCCCCTTTAAGGCAAAAACCAGATACTCACATCTTTATTTTGCGATTCAAATTCACCCTCGAAAAATCTCGAACAATCGAGTCGCAATCTCCGGTTAATTGTCCACTCCCTGCCAAGTTCAAGGCCTAACTTGCCTTTGCTAAAGACTTGGAATAGTGTCAAACTCGCGACTTTGCGACACTGTGCCCCGGGGGCACAAATCGGGGGGCATTGTGTTCGGGTGCCGGGCGATTAAAGGGGTCAACCAGTGGGGGAGCAGGGGAGAAGGATTAGCCCATAGGCCATCCGGGCCCATTCACACATTGCCGAATACACGATGGTTCGAGTAATGGACAGCCTGGTGGTATTTGGGGAGTGATGCAAAGTACGAACTCGGAATTGCTGATTAGGGGGATTAGGCTCAAATGGGTCGAAGACAAAATGAAATCGAAGTCTCCCGACGAGAAACCTGGGTCTATAAGCTCTTGTCACGTGCGACACGATTTTTTTTCAGCATGGAGACCGACGTAATGTCATCTTGGCAATCGCTCGAAGTGCTCGCCATCAATGGAAATAATTTGACCACGCTGCCGGAATTTTCGGTCCCAGAATCGATGCGCGCGATGTGGGTTTTCTACTTTCTTTCTTGTCAGAACATTCAAAAACGTAGATCACGCATCAATGGCGGTTCTTATTAAAATCGATCTTTTTTAGCCGCCTAGCCGATAACCCCTGGCTCTGTGATTGCCGAATGTCTTGGGTGCATCAGGAGATGAACCCGCAGTGGCAGTCGGCCATCAAGTGCTATCGACCAGCCCTCCTGAACGGTCGTTTCTTACCCTCACTTCGCGATGACGTGAGTTATTATGTTATATGAGGGTTTTATTAAAATTCTGGTAAGCAAAACTACGTTCAACGAGCGGCTTTAGGAGCTGAAATGCTCAGGGATCGAGAAGCGAGCGTCGTTCAGTTGCGCAGACACCCGCATCTGCCCCATCTCATGCACTTGTACGGAGAGTACGGTGGATTGCAGAGATCGGGGCCTTACCCATATACCGTCAAATCTTCCAAAGTCGACGCAGGAACTGTAAGTTCAAGTTTTTTTTGCTCCAGACATGGCTTGCAAAAAAAAACGAAAGAGAATGCTCATAATCTGGCAAGTAAGGTTAAAATTTCTTTCAGGCGTCTCGAGCAAAACAAGATCACTTTCATCCCGGCCAAGGCTTTCCATGATCTCCCTCATCTTCGCCGACTTGACTTGAGTCAGAATCAAATCGTCGAAATCGCCCCGAACGCTTTTTCAGGACTGGAAAAGTTGAATTCATTGTAAGTTACCTGAAATTAGCCATAAACTCTTCCTACATAGGGTCCTCTATGGTAACTACCTCCAATCTCTTCACGAAGAAGCTTTTAACGGGCTTTCCTCGCTGCAACTCCTCCTGCTCAACGCGAATCAGCTCACTTGTCTCCGGTCGGTTAACTCGGATTTTTAATCAATGTCGAAATTCTTGACGACGCTGCATTTTGCAGAAAAGGCTCAATGACGCCACTCAAAAATTTGAATCTGCTCTCGCTCTACGACAATAGAATCCGCTCGATCGCCAATGGCACATTCGGAGCCTTGGAGAAGTTGCAGACATTGCATTTGGCTAAGAACCCGTTGATTTGTGATTGTAATTTGGTAGGATATGAAAAAGCTAGTCAATCCCGAATTCTAGGAATGGTTAGCAAATTTGCTGAACGCACGAAAAATGGAAACCTCGGGTGCGAGGTGCGAGGCGCCGAAGCGGTTGGCAAAGAAGCGGTTATCGGCTGTGCCACCATCGAGATTCCGATGCAAAGGTGTGCAAAATGTGTCGTTGCTTGAAACTAAGTTTTATTTTGGGCTCGGAGATGTTCGCTACGGATCGGGCTGGGGAATGCATGATCGACCACGATTGCCCGGTGGAATGTGCTTGCAGCGGAACTGTCGTTGATTGCAGGTCGGTGCTTCGTTGAAAATTAAAACTTAGCTGATAAACTTTAGCAAACGGTCACTAACATCAGCGCCGGACAACATTCCCCAGTTCACCACTGAACTTCTCCTGAACGGCAACCATATCACGAAGCTTGGCGACAATGCCCTCGATCTACCGAATCTTAATAGAATGTAAGAAGGAATAATTCATCCAAAAATTATTATTCTTAGCGATTTGTCCGACAATCAGCTAATTGGCATCCCTATTGACAGCTTCTCCAAGATGCCGCAGATCTCGCAAATGTGAAATCTTCTTTTTGTTTAATCTGTATTTGTTTAGTGATCTTTCGAATAACCATCTGAAGTGCCTAGCGGAGAGGGCTTTTTCGTCCTTGAAAAAGCTGGAATCACTGTGCGTTTTGGCAATAGTTTTTCATATTTTTTAGGATTCTGGCCGGAAATAACTTCACCTGTGGTTGTCATCTATTGTCTTTTGTCGAGTGGTCTCGTGAAAAACCGGCGCTGATGATCGAGAAAGCCAGCTGTCGAACCGGGGATCAATCGACGAAGTTTGTTGATATTGATGCGGAAGCGATTTCTTGTGAAGGTGACAAGAATTTGGCGCGTCTTAGACGTTCTAAACACTTAGGCGTTCGGGACGAATGTGCTGATGATGGGAATTACTGTCCACAGGGGTGTACTTGTAAAGACACTATTGTCAGGTAAGTGCGATAAAACGCTGCATTTTTAATACAAGATATATGCTATCGTATCCTGATTCCACGCTCTAGATGCTCCGGCCAAAACCACACCTCGATCCCATCGGGCGTCCCGATCGCCACCACCGAGCTGCTCCTAGACTCGAACCTCATCACCAAGCTCGACCCACGCAAGCTGGCCGGCCTCGTGAATTTGGTCAAGCTGTAAGGGACTTTTCAAAAGTGAACCCCATCTTTAGAGATCTCTCGAATAACCGTATCAACTCGGTCGAAAACGACACCTTCCAAGGGTTGCCCCGACTCTCGACGCTTATCCTTAGCTACAACAAGATCCAATGTCTAGCCGAACGGGCCTTCGGAGGTATGCCGTTATGTTCCTCAAACTCCTGTATATTTTTAATGATAAAATATTTGTTGTACACTTTTAGGAATGTCTACCCTTCGGATTCTGTCGCTGCATGGCAATGACATCTCCATCTTGCCACAAACCGCTTTTGAGGGCATGGAAAATATTACACACATGTATGGAACTTTTTGGAAATAAAATGCCAAATTTTAGAGCACTTGGCAGCAACTCGCTCTACTGTGACTGCAATATCCTCTGGTTTTCGAAGTGGATCAAACAAAAGTTCGTTTTTTAGAACGATTTTCGGCTCCGTTTTCAGATTTTCTCCGTTTTTCTCCGTTACCTTTAAATTCCAGGTACATAGAGGCCGGCATCGCTAGGTGCGAAAGCCCAACGGCACTAAGAAACCAATTGCTACTGACGGCACAGCAGAATCAGTTGCTCTGCACCGAATCCACCCCACCCAGGATACTATCAAAATGCGACCCCTGCGTGCAGCATAAATGTGAAAATAAAGCGTCGTGCCAGCGGAAGAGCAGCGCCGAATATTCGTAGGATTTTTGTCCCACATTAAGTATCATACACTTTGTTTTGCATATTCGTTAGAAGCTCCGAATTTTCAGATGCTCGTGCGCGGCGGGATACTACGGGGAGAGGTGCGAAAAGGAAATTGATGCTTGTTTCGGGCATCCCTGCATGAATAACGCTACCTGCAAGGTTAGGTGTTTAGAAATGTATATAAATCCCTTCCAGGTCACCGAAAAAGGGCGCTTCTCCTGCGTGTGCAAGAAGGGCTTCAACGGCCAATTTTGTCAAACGAACATCGATGACTGCGCGCAAAACAAATGTCAAAATGGTGGCAAATGCGTGGATCTGGTAAGTTAAGAAAAAAATTGTTGATCCATATTAGAAGTTTATTTCCTAACTGCTTTATGATACAGCCTAAAATTTAGATCAACACCTATCGCTGTGAATGCAACGAATTATTCGCTGGGAAATATTGCGAGGAGAAGCTGGAGTACTGCTCGAAGAAGCTGAACCCATGCAAAAATACAGGTGCTTGCAGCGCCACGAACGGAACCTACAAGTTAGAAGGATTCCATTAGTGAGATAGCAAATGTTCTAGGTGCACGTGTCTGCCTGGTTTTTATGGCAAAGACTGTGAAACCAATATTGATGACTGTGTCGGGAAATGAGTGCAAGAATGGCGGGAAATGCATGGTAAGTCACCTTACAACATGATTAGGATTTTTGACGGAATAATGCCCATTTTTTACTTCTTGTTTAGGATGGCGTCAACTCATACTCGTGTGAGTGCAGCGACGGATTCCGCGGGCCACACTGCGAACTGCCACCCTCCTCAAATTTCCTCTATCAAAGGACGCAGCACTGTTCGGCTTCTTGCCTTCACGTAATGGAGACTTGCAAAACATAAATACTCGTTAATTTTAGGGCTCCTGCGTCTTCGGCGAGGACGACGATCAACAGGAAGCCGTTTGCCAATGTCACGCTGGATACACGGGGGACAAGGTAGTTACTAATCGTTTTAGGCTCTAAATTTTGTATAGCTACAATAATTTATCCTATACCAGGGTTGAAGAGCCGCTTCGCGACTTTTCAACCCTGGCCCCGTCTCGGACCCCATAATATTGTCCCCCTTTGCATAATTGTCCTCCATTCAGAAAACAAAAAAAATGAACAGAACCCTTTCTGCCTCTTTATATAGGCGACCACCCAGTTCCGCTCTATGCTAATTATCCCTAACAAAGAGGTTTTTACAAAAACCTAAATTTAATAGCGAAAATTTTTAAAAAGCTAATATGTGTGCAGTCATCCCTAGACCATTGCGCACCTAATGACGTATCATACGTAGCCTAATACCCGTCCCTTCTTGAAATATCCTCCGGACAGACAGACGGAAGTGGATGCAAAGTGGCACACACACACACACAAACACTATTTTTTTATATATAGTAGGATAGTAGGATTATTTTAGTGCGAGCTTCTCTCATCTGCCGGTTTTGCTTCCCAAAACTCTTACGTAGCGTTGGAACCGCTTTATGAATCCAGTGCCAACATCACTTTCCTATTGACAAGTCAGAGCAGGTGAGCCTTATCTAGATTTAACGTATATAGATAGAAAGATCTTCTATATTTTCTTTTATATATTCTATATTTATTCTATTATCGATATATACATTTGTAGAAACGGTCTCGTTGCCTATTACGGAAATAAGATGGCACATCTTTCGTTGGAGCTGTTCGCGGGCCGACTGAAGGTTTCTTGGGACATTGGCAACCCGCCAGCATCTGTTTTGTACAGCTATTCCGTTGGTAAGATCCGCTACATGTTTTTCACTGCATTTTTCTAGTGAACGACAATCTGCCCCACCACATCAACCTTCAGATGAAAGGCCAGGGTCTGTCGGTTAAGGTATGCGGCATTACAGGAATTGCAAGCAGCCTATAAATCTCGTTAGGTTGACGACACAGCAGTCCAATCGGTCGAAAATTCGGGAAGTGCCACGGAATTTGCGCTGAAGTCGAAGGAATTTTTCTATTTTGGACGCCCGAAATCAGCTGTGGCCGAGGTGGCCCTGGCTGAATATCAGATCCGGCAGAATGAGAGCTTCAAGGGTGGGCGTCTGAACTTTTTTCGTATGTTTTCGATTCAGGTTGCATCTCGGAATTGGTCATCGATGGGAAAATGGTTGATTTCTCGAATGTCGTCGAGCGACTGGATATTGAAAAAGGTTAGCGATTGAGAAAGAGTAGCTGCTTTGCTAGCACCATGCAATCAGGATGATACATTGCAATGTTGTATTATTTCAGGTTGCAACGAAGTTGTGGATTACTGTGCGGGAATGGTGTGCGGCACCGGGCAATGTCATGTCGACGTGAAGACACCGCGCGGCTACAGATGCCAGTGCCCTCCGGACTTCATGGGGCCCAATTGCGCACAGAGTCAGTCTAATTTACGAGCTTAAGAACCGTAAATCGAACAGTTAGTCGAAAACTAGATCACAAAACTAGTAAACTCGAACTACCGCGATGATTACCGCGAACTAGCAACGCGTTCATCGACGTGTTTCTGTGTGTTTTGCGCCTCGCATATCCACTGCTTTGAAAATAGAGATCTTTCGTATATATTCCGACTTCGCGATAAAATGCTAATTAGAATTTCTTGTTTTTCCCGCTTTCCATCCGACTTTTACGATTTACATCCAAATTAGCATGTTATCCCGATATCGCGTCTATATGAGTAACATCTCTTTAAAACCCAATTTTCCAGAAAAAATTCAGTGCAACAAGGAGAAGTTTAAGGAATACTATGAGGAGGGTGATTGCAGGTAAAACTCAATTCAAAAAACACAAATCGGGAATTTTGAAGGTCGATTGAAGAGATCAAATCGGCACGTTGTGATGGCTATTGTGGCGAAAACGGAAATTGCTGCACGGCGGTCAAGCAAAAAAGGCGAAAAATCAAATTACACTGCAAGAACGGTACCAGGTGGGCAAGAAAAAAAAACATAATAATAGATAATAGCTAATAATAATACGTTGATAGCACCAAGCATTTAAATATTTTTCAGCAAAATGGCGGTTGTGCCGATCGTGCGAAAATGTCTTTGCAACGAGTCGTGCTCGGCCAGGAAACGAATATAAAAAATATACCGATTTTTTGAATGTTTTGTTGATTTGTGCACAGAAAAAAGAAATTAAAAATATTTATTTGCACGTTGACTACGCCTAGCCGCTTTGCACTTTCAAAAGCACCTCTTATGCACCCAGTAGAGAATTTGAAGGTTCGGTTTTGAAGAGCAATTCGTTTGGGCATCAATGGGGTGACAGGTAGCCATTAATGTGCTGATGAAGCCCATCATGAAAATGGTGGCAGGATAGGCAAACCGATGCTTTTGCATTATCGGGGGTGGGAAACCAAATTTTTAAGAGCAAACGCTTAATACTAAATATTTTTAGTGGAGCTACAAACAAAAAACTGGTCGAAATACGGATTGTTTTCACACTCCCGGCGGATAAAAGTTTATAATGATTTCTAGGTACAGAAGTAAGCAAAAAATTTCAGAGCGTGAATTTTCATTTCAAATGGAAAAATTCAATCCCTAGCCCCGAAAACGCAAAAACGCCGCAATTCTAGTTTGAATGTGTCCGAAGTGAAGCGTAGGAAATCATGAGATTCCGGCGGAAATGCATAAAGCTAGTGATTAGTGTGGAAACCCGTTTTGGCGAGAATGAGGATCGAGCAGAGAGGGATCGCGGGATAAGGATGAGGATCGAGTTTTTTGGAATGGGCAGAATAGATGAGATCGACGAGTAGTCACCGCTCTTCTTCTTCAGGCTGCTCCCAGAATTGGGTGATGGATATGAGTTGGGTGAAGACAAGTGAGAGTGGCGTACGGATTGCCGCTTTTGTCTAAATTTGAATTAAAGGTTCACTTTATTAAATTTATCGTATCCTCTTAAACATTCGGCGCCTAATTTAAAAAAATCGGAGTCATAGAAGGTTCAGTTTTCTAATCCGCCGGATGGATCCTTGGAAAGTTGAATGCACTAAGGATAAGTTTCCCCCGCCCATCCGCTGGCGCTTCTTAGAAAAATGAACGATGCTACTACGCCCACTAACCCCGAATCTTGACCAATTTAACAATATGGGAGTAGAGTGTTTCTCAAAATCCTTAAATTTGAATTTTTTGGACGTTGAGCCTTATTAAGCCAGATTTTTCCATAATTTCTACAGTAACACAAAAGTAAGCCCTCACACACCTTCCGTTCTCGATGGCACGTCAGTATCTGCTTGAATGCACGCCGGAAATCACGAGAAAATCGGGAATAAATCAGCGGGTTGAGCATCGAGTTGAGGTGACCGGCCCACGTAAAGATAGTGAACATTGTGTCGCGGTTGGAAAAGCACTAAGGTCGTGAAAAATGTAGTTGAACAACACCTACCGATTCACAGAGGGCAGCGATGGGGGAGAAGACGAAAAAAGGCGTCCAGCAGAGGATGAAGGCGCCTACGACGATGGACAACGTGCGAGCTGCCCGCTGTTCGTGGACGTATCTGAAAATATTATTAATGACAAAATTGAAACAATAATCCTTGCAAATAGTTTGCCAATTAGACTACAAAGCGCTCCTGTGCGCGTTCTGTTTCGTTCTGTCCTGGAAATTGCTAGAATTGACCAAAAATCTCACTTCATCATCTGTCGACTTTTCTCCCGAACTCCAACCCGCTTCCGCATCGGTCGCCTCGACGTCGATGGAGATCGATCGGTGAATGGTGATGGAATCGGAGATTGGTGATTAGAGACGATTAGCGCGCTTTCTTCTTCCCGGTCGCTAGGGAAGAAGTTGTGCGCCGATTGCTTAAAAGCAACTTTTGTAAGTGCTACGGCAAAAACGCTACCGTCTTTGCCAACAGCGACACTGCTCGGCCGTTGCCATTTGCTTTTAGCAAATTTTGTTCCTCCTCGTTTTTCTGTAAAATTCAAGATTCCATTTGGATTTAATTTAGTGTAAAGGCTAGCCTATTCCAAGAAAAACATTGTGAAAAAGAGAGCGCATAAAAAACTGACCGAAGCGACACGGAATGAGCTGGTGCTATAGTTCCCGATCGAGTCTTTCTTAGGCGGGTGGACGACTTTGCAAGGGATCTAGAACAGTTTTTCGGAATATCTTGTCGCAATCCACTTCCGCGAAAATTCATTTTGTGAAAATTTCCAGAACCGCGTCCCGGTTTTTCAGGCACCAAATTCGCTGGTCGGGTGCCGGTACCGATTGATATCCGACATAGTCAAATTTCCACCTTTTGAGTTTCGACGAAGTGAAATTTTGACAAAATGAGTTTCGGCAAAATGAGTTTCCGCATTCTGATAGCAAATCGATGATCATACCTGCGCGAGAAGCAGCTTTCCAGTTGCTGTGCCCCGAGATCCCTTCTTATTCAGGCCGATCCCTCTTCCAAAATGAACCCGCATTGCTGACCCGTCATCTCCGCCAAGCATCGGACTCCCTTCCCCATTTTTGGCGCCTTTGATCTGGAATTAGCAATATTAGAGAGTAATTTTGTTAGATACTGGGGCCAACATTGGGGTAAGGACTAGAAAAAACGAGTTTTCGTTTCGGCACAAACCTTCTTGATACCGCTCATCAACCCCCGTGAGTGGTTCCTGGCAATCACATAGACTTTGCCGTACGCAAACAGGATCAGCCCAAGCGGTATATAAAATGAGAGGAAGGACGAGAAACCGAGGTACAACGCCGAGTCGGTGAAGACGCATTGTGTCTGCAATCGAGGTCGTAAGGGTCAACAAACGATAATATTTTGAAGTCTTCAGCTCGGCTACGCACCTGGTCCGTGTACAAATGGGGAGAGCTCTCCCTCCAAAACGCAATCGCTGGAAAGGAGAGACCTGAAACTTGGAATGTTAACAAAAAAATGTTTCGAACCCGCGGCTGCGATCCAAACGAGGCAAATCGCGATTCGGATGCGCTGCTTTGATACTTTGTCTCGGTACCCGATCGGGTCACGCCCTGCCATGTATCTAGAAAAATTTGGGAGTTAATAGGGCTATCGAGTTGGTAAACTAAAGCAGTTCACATTCACTCACCGGTCGAGGCTGATGATGCATAGGTTCCAGATCGAGCTGGTCGATGCCAGGATGTCAAGCGCGTGGAAAATGTCGCACATCGTCAACCCTGAAACTCCCCTCCTCTTTCTCGGGCCCCAGTCGATAATTACCGAGAATCCAGACGTGGCTCGTCATCTCGTACAACGAGTTGAGCGGCATGACCACCAGCCCCACGATCAGGTCGGCGATCGCAAGCGAGATGATGAGGTACCTGCAAACATTCAAGAAATGGAACTTAGAGTTGCTATTACCCGGTCGGATTTCGAAGGTATCGCTTTGTGCAAACGGCCAGTACGACCAAGCAGTTCCCGGCAACGGTGACCAGGCAGAAGCAGAGGAGTAGTAGGGCCAGAAATGGGTTCCGCCATGCGATACCTAAATTCATTTTGTATCGTATTGAATAGCCTAATCTCTAAGGCTAAAAAGAGTCTTTTCAAAAAAGGGCTTTTGGTTTTCGCAAAAAGAGATTAATTCTCGTGGCAACAAAAAGTGCTAAATTCCTTTAAAACTCTGAAAAATTCCACAAAATGGGGAACAACAAAAAGCTGCTGGCTAATTAAAATCTTAATAAACTTGGGACTGTTTTAGATTACAGGTCAGGTCTACAGATTAATTTCAAGAAAATGGATCATAATACCGAAATTTATTTATAAGCCGAAACGGCTAAAAACGAGTCGTTCCCTTTTAATAAGGTGCCAGCAACTTTTGGTTGATCCCACATTTTGTGGAATTTTTCAGAGTTTTAAAGGAATTTAGCACTTTTTGTTGCCACGAGAATTAATCTCTTTTTGCGAAAACCAAAAGCCCTTTTTGGAAAAGACTCTTTTTAGCCTTAGAGAGAATTTAGCCCTTTTTGCCTCAATTTTGTTGTTAAGATCATAGAATAAGTCTTGGGATACTTATTCAGATGAACCCTTGTACGCAATACTTCAAAAAAATTTGCCTGCGGCGCTTTGTAACGGTACTAAAAACCTTAACGATGCATTCGCGCCAATCGGCAAAAAAGATGTTGCGGGCGGGGTTCGAACTCGGGAGCCAAGACTTCCCAGTACAGCGTGCTAACCACTAGGTCAACGGGGAGACTGGAGCCCTGTCTTGGGGAAGCTAGACCCGCCCGCCCTGACCCGGGACTAGGGCCGCGAAAGGGGAGGGTGGCGCCCCGTATGGCGAAGGTTTAAAGTTATAATATCTCAGAGAAGAAGCATTCTTTCGATGCAATTTCTTCTTTACTTATTCCGGCATGGTCTAATGCATATTTGAGCAAAATTTCAGCCCAAACGGACATCACTAACCCTTGTTTTGGCCGCAATTTAGCTTTCTAAACTTAAAAATTAAATATAAATTTTTTAAAATCCTATTTTGAAAAAAACGCTTCTTCCTCACCTTCATTTACATCAAGTCGATATATGTGGAAAATTTCAGCTCAAACGGACCATGGGAAGGCACTTTTTGACGACTACAAAGGTTTTGCGTACATACACACACACATACAAACGCAGACCCCCCCCTCGAAACGCAATTTAAATCGGCTGTTAAAATTCGAAATTTAACTTTTTTTCAATTTTTAAAAGCTTATAGTATGCAAAAAGTGTCGCCGGTTCCGATGGTGTATTCAGTTTCGCGATCCGATGCATGGTTCTTTTTTAAATCCGGAAAAGGACCCCAAAAGAGTCGTATGGGGGGGTACCTCAAACCAAAAGGGGTTAGCGGGCTACGCCCGCTACCCCCGATATGGCTTCGATACTCCATTTTGATTTATTTTTCAGTGGAAATGGTGCTTCCGGTTAAAGCTTGGAGAGAGAGACATAGAGAGAGCGAGAGAGAGACAGAGAAAGAGAGAGATGAGAGAGTGAGAAAGATAGGGAGAAAGAGCGGGCGTGAGAGCGTCGCAAGATGCACAACACCCATACGCGCAAAATTCCTGAGGTTCCTGTCTCTTTAAACTTTTAGTGCAATTTGTCGTTATCATGCCTGCTAGATTTTTGCAGAATCGAAGTTATTATGGCCAATCCACAAATGTTAATTCGGGCCCCGTGAGTATCCCATAGCCCAACCGCTTATGCAGTTGGTTAACCGACCCCTCTTTCTCCACCTTCTCACGCACTCAACTTTGGAACACGTGTGAACCACCGATCTCTCTCGCAAAAAAGGGGGATGGGGGTGAAGCCCATAGATCGGCTATATTTGACATGTGTGTGCGGCCGGGGGCTCCCTGCCGCGTAAGTGGATTCCGCGTGCGCAAATCGCGATTTTTGGGCGGATAATTCCGAAATTGAATACGCCGTGGCGATGCGCTCGTTCAAACAACGCAAGTTCGCGCCGGAATTTGCTTCGATTTCGTCTGGCTAGAAACTGAGTTTGCATTTGTTTGGATCTTGGTGGGAAGCCGGATTTTTGGCCGAAATAACGGATTTGCATTTGGTTCACGATTCCGTTTTGCAAACAGAGTTTTCGTTTTTGGCCTACATATCGCAACAATTCACATTGTCCGGTTATTTTTGTTAACAATTTTAGCTTACAACCATAGCTTTCAAAAATTCTAGTAAATCAGTATTTTAGGCGCGGCTTCCGAAATCCATGGCCTTCTATGCACGCTAAAGCTAACTGCAAGCCATGAGGATTTTTCGAGAAGTTTTTCCATAAAGCCCGTTTTTTCAAATGAAACTGAAGGTCCTGAAGCATTTTCTGGCTCGGATTCATCAATCATTCCACTTTTTATATATCTTGAGCCTCTACCGTAGCCAACTTGTTAAACAAACGGACGGGGGTTTTGATGGAAGTCGGACTCAAGGGCGCCCGGAAAAGAGGGTTGGGCTGTTATTCATGGCCGAGGCTTACCGGAAGCGAGGACGGCATCGGTGGAGGCATTCTGGGGCGACTCTAACATAGGAGGAGGGCCCTGCTGCTGCAAATCCCGTCTGAAATGCCTATTTTTAGGGTGCGCAGCAGGCTTGCAGGGCTTCACATCAACAGGAAGACACAAGGTGTTGTTTCATAGAGAGAGGGAGGGAGAGAGAGAGCGATAGAGAGCGAGAGAGAGAGAGAACGGGCGAGAGAGATGCACGTAAATACCAGGTGGTATAAGAATTCTTAAGGTATTACACCTTTTCGAAGCAAAAATATACTTGCATTAAAAAAATAGCGTCTTAAAATTTACGAAAAAAGAAATAAGCTGAAGAAGAAATACATCCTCTAAAAGTCGAGCGGGCACGGGAAAAATCACGAAAATCGAAGTAGACTAATATTGCGGCGAGCTACGCAAAAACAGAGCCAATTGTAAATGGCGGGGCCGTCTTCCGTGTCTATTTTACACGACCTACATTTTTAGGTGTTGACACCGAAGATACGTTGCTTCTCGGAAAAAGTGTGTTTGCGATTCGAACACGTAAAAAATTTTCGATTGCAAAACTAGTCAGTAGTAAAGCCATACGATTGAAGTATGTAGTTTTTTTGAATTATTGAATAAATTATTGAATTTGCATAAATACGGTTACAAAAACAAGTCGATCACAAAAATTTGGGTACCCCCATGGTTTGCACAATTGATTCTACCCATCCCAAAATTGTTGAAAATTGTGCGAGCTCGTGTTTTTGGGAAACAAAGAACAGGCAGGAAATGGGGGATGAGGATCGGAAGATGAGAGTAATCCCCGGGTCCCCGGCCACCCAGAAATGGGCGGAACGAGGAAGATCGGGGCCCGGGGGCCCACATGGGTCCTTCAGAGGGGTCTGGGATTAGACCCACTTTCAGGTGGATCAACTTCCCTTTCCGGCCTTTCAACCTATAAATCTAACGTTTTTCAGGTGGTTTCACTTGGGGGCTATTTTCCAGCAAAAAAATTTTAAAAACAAAAGCACACAAATATGCTTGAGTTTAAGCCTAAGCCTAAGTATAAGTCTAAGCCTAAGCCTAAGCCTAAGCCTAAGCCTAAGCCTAAGCCTCAGTCTAAACGTAACTCTAAGCCTAGGCCTAATCCTTTGCTCGAACCTAATACCCAAATAATAATAAAAAGCCTTATTAGGCACAAAAAATTAACAAGGCATTTTTAAACCATCCATCAACAGGGCAAAAACAAGCCATGTGCTGATCTAGAACTTCCGAAAAAACCGGAAATAGGCTAATTAAGTAGCGACGGCCCTCAAGACTTGAGAGTCCAAAAATTACCCTCCTCCAACATTTTTGATGCCTATGCTGCGGGTGTAGGCGAAAAATGCGGTGGTTAACATAATTCAAATCGGCTCAGCAACCGGCTTCGAAAAGAGGTGCCCGGAAAAGACGGGGGGAGCAATGGAACAGACAACACAAAGCGTTACATAGTCTGCTATTGCCTTTTTTTGAAAATATATGGGCTTCAGATCGTGGGTCCAGAAATTGAGGACTATGTGGACCTTGACTATTTAGCTAATAAACTGAATGTTTTTGATTGAAAATCTAGTCCAGAGGTGCTTTTTTAGCTGTTTTTCTAAAGCGCTCAAATATCACGTGTTCAGCTAATTTGAATACTGAATTGCCCTAAATCGCACAGAAAATAAACATTTTCGAAATTACATTTTCCAAAAATTTCGAAATATTCGCTCATTAACTCAAACCAAAATGCGAAACCCAAAATTAAAATTTCAGTGTTCATCCCAATTTTTTGCATTCCTCAGCCATCGGAACAAAGCCTTTTTCACAATCCATCCTAGCCGGGCGACAAGTCAAAAGGGCGGACGGGGCTCATTTGTATTGACCTAATTAGAAGGGGGCCTCCCTCAGGGGTCGGGTGGGCCCCATTTTTGCCATTTCAAAGATTATGAAGCCAGACGAATGTTGACCCGCTGGTCTCGCGCGGTTGGAACACAAAGCACTGCAATGGGCGAGGGAGAGCAGCAACTGGGAAAATGGCTACAAATAGGTGGCTGGAAAACGTTAGAAAACAAGATAGGGGGCCTGCGAATCCGCGCCGATTATTCCACACCACGGGAATCAATTGTGGGTTCGGGGGAACCAAGAACAAACAGAAAAACAATAAAAGGTGATAAGTGCCTGTGAAGTAATTCGCTATATGACTATATATCGGAAATCCGAAATACAGGGTGTCCCAAAAAAAATCGACCCCCCCTCTAGCGGTCCGGAGACACGTCGGATCGGGATGATTTTTACACCATTCGAAAGCCCTTGAAACGGCGAGAAAACAAGCTCTTTTCGTTTTGCAAAGTTTTTTAGCCCGCCTTGATATTCAACGATTTCTTAAAAAAAGCGTAAAATCAGCACCGTCCTGTTTGATTTAGTAAGGAATTAGCATGCTGATTTTACATAAAATCTGCAGCTTTCATGGAATTTGGCCCTAGATTTATTGAATAAAAATTAATATATTAAAAAACGAAAAGTGCTTGTTTTCTCGCCTTTTCGAGAGCTTTCGATAGATACCTAAATCGTGAAAATCGGACATGACTGCGGCCCGCTAGAGGGGGGTAGATTTTTTTGGGACAGCCTGTAGAAGAGCTCGACAAATGATCGAATTCTGCTCCGACGTATCTATTTGAAAACGTGGAACACGAGTTTTTGGCTTAACGCGCGCCAATTTTAATTCAGGAAACTCTACTATTTTGTTTTAATAAATGATAGAACTCGGTCGAAACCCCGCATCTCTACAAGGTTTTCGACAGCGGACCACTCTTCGGCCCAAAATTTTCTCACCCGCGCGCCGCCTGGCTCACTATGCCCCTCCGTGCAATAAGCCTTTTGACAAATAAAATCACCAAAATTGCTATTGCTATTCCACCCAAAAATCGGCGCCTCTGGCTCAATCCTTGCAGCTCAAGCATCATCTAGCAATTAGCCAGAAAAATACCCGAGGCGGCCCCTCGTGGTGGCGTGGGGAGGAGGTGCAAATCGCGAGATCAGCCCCGGGCGATATTTCAAACCGGATCCCCCCTGAGGCTCCGATGGACCCATCGTCGTGTCCGGGCCCTTTGGGCCACAATCGAATCTCTGGGTGAGTCGGCCCCCTGAGAGGACTCGATTTCCAGCCCAGGTCACTCTCTTCCTCTTCGCTCATCCTCCCCACTCCACCCCACCTCCCCCCCCACTCCAAACAAAACTAACCGAAATGGACTATTTTCGTATTGGGGAGTTGGAGGAGGGCCACCTCCAAGCCTACCCGGATGTGATTGAGGACTTCTCTGCGAGGATATCGGGATGAGGAAGAAATTTGGGCAACTAGATTGCGATTGCTAAATATCTGGAAGTGCGCTTTTTAGGACGATGAACCACTACCGCATCCCTCAAAAAAACGCATTTTAGCGCGAGGACACTACACTATCCCTACACTTTCAATTGAAAATAAAGTTTTAATGTGCAAATATATAAAAAATAGTGTTTGTGTTTATCGACTGCACACATGTTAGATGTTTTTTTTGTTATTGGCATTCAAACTGGAATTTTGTGAAACTTCTCGGCCATCGTCTTTTTTTGTTGGAAAACAATTAGCATATGCCGGAAGGGGGAAAGCCTATATACAGGGTGTCCCAATAAAAAAGGTCACGCTGGCATTTTGCTATTTCAAATCCGATCGACTTGAAATTTTGCACAGAGCGGCGGAAGGGAATTCAGAATGTTCACAGAAACTTTCAGCCCGATCGGTACAGTAGTTTTCCAGTTATAGCAAAAATAAGCTTTATTTTACGTTTTTCACCTAGATTCCGCCGGAATTGAGCCCTGGAATGTATGGAGAAAATGAAGCGCCGACCCTTTTTTACCCTAGGAATTTTTTTATTTCGCAAAATTCGGGTCGAAAATGGGCTATTTAAGTATTTTTTTAACAAGGGCTAACGACGCCGATGTTAAGAAGAATAAGGGATTTAGAGCCGGAAATTTATGTTAATTGATGCAAAGACCAAAAAGATAGCCGAAAAAATGAAGCTAAAGTGTGGGAAAAACAGTATTTTTACAATAACTCGAAAACTACTGTACCGATCGGGCTGAAAGTTTCTGTGAACATTTTAAATTCCCTTCCGCACCTCTGTGCAAAATTTCAAGTCGGTCGGATTTGAAATAGCAAAATGCCAGCGTGACCTTTTTTATTGGGACACCCTGTACATGTACAGGGTTAGCGGAGACGTTTTTCAGATTTTTCTTGCTAGAATTCGGTCAGAAGCATGCAAATTGAAGACGTTCATAGGTCCTAGACGGGGCCTGGGTTGACACGCCAGGTTCCTACACGGGCGGTTGTGTAATTGTTGTCTTGCCAGCGGCCCGCTTTCCTTTTTAGCCCGAAAACCCAAAACATGACAATTACAGTACCCGGCAATAACGTTGAAAAGGTGAGCTAATCTATTGGCGACCAACTCTCGTATGCGAAGACGGATACCCGCCAGGCCACTGCTACGGCGGCCATATCGAAAGGGTCGAAATCCGGGGGCGAGACGAATTAATATACGAGGGGCCGTGAAGGGGAGCCCCTCGGACTAATCAGGTTGCTCCAAAATATGCACTGAAGCAGCCGCAGGGCGCTCTTCCTGGATTTCTGAAATGTCTGCACCCGGTTGCGGGAAATGGCCACGGGGATTCCGGGAGTCCGGTTGTGGGTGGGTGCCGGGAAAAAGGGCGTTGTATGTGTTGGTTGGGCCGATGTGCTTCGATGTCAGAAAAAGCTAAGGATGGAGCGGAATCTCGGCTTGTTTCATCTTAAAAATAATAGCCGGAAATCATTTTTCCGAAAATGGCATCTACCGAAAAACATAGTGAAACATTTTGAAAAATGACATGGCTGCTTCTTTATATTGTTGGCCTAATGAAAAACTTTCTACTGCGCTTTTCGAAATCCTGATTTTTTTTCACATTTCCAAGCTATCCTACTATATATAAAAAAATAGTGTCTGTGTGTCTGTGTGTGTATGACACTC